GTCCTCCACAACTAGACTGAAGAACAGAACGACAGCAACTTGTCTGCTCCCCTTCCTCCTAATTCCCCAGCGCTGTTATCCCCCAATTCCCCAAAAAAAAAAAAAAAAAAAAAAAAGAATTCTGTTGAGAGCCAGCCTGGTTAGGAGTTGGTTAGGAGTTGGCTTGGGACACCAGCTCTGACCATCAGGGTCCCCGTTCGGATCCCACATGAGGGCCAGTGATGCTGTGCCCTCTACAGCTAAGATGGTGAACAACAGCTTGACCTGGAGCTGGGTTGCGTCAGTCGCTGGTGACCGCATAGGCTGCAGTGGGGCTGCCATGAGCAACCATGAGTGGCAGCCAGCATGAGCGGCCCGCAGAGGCCCGCAGTGGGTGTGAGCTTTCGTGAGCTGCCATGAGCAGCAATCAATGGCCGGCGAGCGACTCCCTCACCCGGGAAGAGCGCAATGATAACACCAACATGGGCCAGTGAAGCAACGTCTTCCACAACTAAACTGAAGAACAAAAGGACTGCAACTTGTCTGTTCCCCTTCCTAGATCCCCCAATAAAAATCTTTAAAAAAAAAAGTCCTGTTGAAGTAGAGTTAAAGAAATGACTTAATTGTAAGCGTGATCTCTTGTTTCCCCCATTTTCTGAACAAAAACCTAAAAGGAGGGCAGCTACGGTGGATGCTATATGCTGATGACTTCCATATGCCCTAGGGGTACATAAAGGGGGAAAAGCCACGGGACTGAATTTACCCTTCTGACACACACAATGCGTTTAGATAGGCCTTAAGAAAAACCAGAGAGGAAAGCTCTGTGGCAGCAACCGTGAGGGTGAGAGGACAGTGGATTGTGTGTAGTGAGCCGAAATACGACACCAAGGACCTGAAATCGGACTCTTCACTCTACTTGAAATGTGACTCTTACCCTCAGCGCTCCTGGAAAGCGCAGCGCGGTCGGGCTCACTTAGCCAAGAGAATTTGCGCCCGACCGAGTCGGTAAAGAGCTTTGAAATCACTAGGTGAACAGAGCGCTAAACAAACACAAAACGGTCAGCGCAGAGTAGCTGGTCCCGGCTCGCACCAGCACTCTAGTAGCACGGCTCAGAAAGAGGGGCGGGGCGGGGAGAATTGCGAAGTGCAGCCGCAGGCTGGGTCACCGCCCCGGAACGGCGCCAACGCCCGGAGGAGGGGCGGGGATGGGAGCGGCGGGCGTCGAGGCGGGACTCCCGCAGACCGCCCCGCCCTGAGCAGCCGGGAAGGATCACAGCCGAGGAGCCGGGTACTAGCTCTACTCGCTACAGCCGCGGGGCTCTGCAGCCCAGCACCGCATTCACCAGGTTGTCCAACGCTGCCCGCACCCACCCAACGGACGTGCGGTTGCCGCGGCCCCCAGAGCCGGCGCCGCTGACGTCAGGCTGACATCAGACGTGACGCTACGGCGGGGCGGGAGCAGGGACGGCGCAGGAGGGCGTTTCCGGAGCACGCGCCGGGCGTGGGCCGCTGACGTCGGGCTCAGGTGCGCGCGCTCGCCCGCTCGCGGTCCAGGTGGTGGACAGCAGCTTCAGGTGGCGGCGGCCTGCAGCGGTGAGAGGGCGACCAGCGGCGCGTACGCGAGTTGGCGCGGGAGCTGGGTTTGAGGGAGCGACGGGAGGGCGCCATGGCTTGCACTCACGTGACCGGCGGGAGCCTGGGGTGGGGGCGGCGAGACGGGTGGGCCCCCGAGGGCGAGGCAAATTTCCCGGCCCCACCCCTCGCGGGCCTGTTGGTGCCAGCGAAGGGGACCCTGCCCTCGGGCTGGGACCGGACCCGCCGCGCCACTTCCCCGGCCAGCCTGGCCCTTTGCGGCGGCCAGTCTGACCGTGGGAGCTGACCGGGGTTGTTTCCCCCGCAGGGCCGCTGCGAAAAGGTGAGAGTCCGCGCTTTCCGAGGGAGTCGCGCCTGCCTCGGCCCGCGCCTTGCAGGGCCCCACCGCACCCGAGGGGATGGAGAGCTTTCCGCCAGGCCCCAGCACGGTCCGCAGTTCCACCCTGGCCGGCCCTCGTTAGCTGCTCGAATTTTGCGTTTTATCCACCACCTAGGCCTTGTCTTCTGAGTCAGTGGCGTTGTGGTTGGAAAGAAATGGAAGAAAAGGAGCGATGTGACGGATTCCGTTCGGTCCTCCTGCATTGAGGCCTGGTTGGCTTTTGCAGAGAGGAAAATAACATCAAGAAAAAAGTGGTTTTTTGGAGGGGGGTGGGAGGGGAGGGGGGAGAAGGGAACAAGGTCTTAGATTTTATACGATATTTTTAGAATTCTGCACTTTGACAGTGGTGGCGAAATACACTAATCTGAAAGTTATTTTTCTATTGAGAAGAGAGAAGAGGTGGATTGTTTTTCCTTTTGATTTCAACCTTTTCTCTCCGTGACAAAGCATAAATCATGGACACCAGAAAATAAAGTGGACCTCAGGAATCCTGAAAAGACTGAGAAGCTTACATTCTTCCTCAGGAGGGAAGGGTAGGGTGTTTTTAGCTCTCTCCGGAACCTAAAACGAAAAACATGAGCTGCGTGCCATGGAAAGGAGACAAGGCCAAATCTGAATCATTGGAGCTGCCCCAGGCAGCACCCCCACAAATTTACCATGAGAAACAGCGTAGGGAGCTTTGCGCCCTGCATGCCCTCAATAATGTCTTCCAGGACAGCAATGCCTTCACCCGGGAAACGCTGCAAGAGATTTTCCAGAGGTAGGGGACCCCCTTCTTCTTGGCATCTTGATACTTTTTTGCTATTTCTGAATTTCTGTGGGTGGGGAAAGTATCTCAGCTATATAGGCCTTTAAACCAACAAGTATTATCCGCTAGATGCTTGTTAGCTGTATAAGGGACAGAGGAATGGGAAGAAAGATAATCATTACCATTTACTGAGCACTTACAATACTATGGACTAGGCACAGTGCTAAGAGCCTCAGTGGTATCATCTCAACGATCCCATAGAATATGTGTCATTTCCATGTTTTGGTTAAAGACAGGGCTCAGAGAAGTTGAGGAATTTGCCCAAGATAACATAAGGAGATGGAGCCAAGCTTGAATTCAGGTTTGTATCTGTGCTGTTGACTGCTATGCTATAAATGCCTTTCAAGTCCTGCCCCACAGAGTTCGCAGTCTAAAAGGGGACAAGATACGAGCACACTCTAGTCACTTGTCATCAGAACACACCACCAATGTGGGTTCCATAAGAAAGGTGTATACACAGCGCTTAGCTTTTCTGTGAGGGGATGTGTTGGCCTTGGTGCTTTTCATATGTTGTTTTGTATAGCCCTCCCAACAGCGTTTTACTGTCTATTTTACTGATAGAGAAACAGGCAGGAAGGTCAGGTAATTTGTCTAAATAGCTTCTAAGTAGCAAAGCTACAATGTGAAGCTGACTCTTGATCTCCCTTTCTTTTCTACTTCATGCTCAATGCCCTTTTTTTACCTACTTTGCCAAATGCTACCCGACAGGTTGATAGAAGTTCAGCTTTTTTCTCTCTGCTTTGATGTTCTAAAATTCTTTTATCAAAGGGTTTAAGAATTAGTTCTGCAGTGCCTAGGTGGACACAGCAGCCCATCTGCAGTCCATAGCAACTTTGGCAGTGCGTTTGTCTCATTGCTCCAGCTAGAAAGTGTTAGGCCTGCTCAGTTCTCAGTGCAGAGAAAGCTCAAGAATTCTTCAAGCAGTGCATATTGGCATTTCCAATATGTGACTCGCTTCACTCAGAGATGAAATTATTGCCCCCAGAAGGACCTGAATTACAGCTGGAAACAACCTATTTGGGGTGATTTGTGAAGCATAGATGTGGACCATTTACCCTGAAAGAACCATAGTCCTCTCTTAAAAGAATGTTAATCCCAGTGTGCTGACAAATTATAATGAGGGTAATTATTTTCCACTGCCTGTAATAACCATAGTAATGCCTTAGCAGGGCCCATGTGTCATTTGCATCATTCCCATTATCTGGCAAGTGGAATTAACTCTCTTCAGGAAATGGGGCCTTGGCAGATGAAATAATTTGTCTCAGATCACCAAGTCATGTAACTGAAAGGAGAAAGGAGGCCAATCCATTAGACTGGTTCTTTTGGCTGGCCATTAATATTTCTTCTCCTAATTGGATATTTGCAAATTATTTCCTAACCTAAGACAAGGGAGAAGGAAAGGACTCATACAGTGAGTACTTGAATTGCTTGCTGCTTTGTCATATGTAACAGTCTTGCAACAACCTTATCAATAGTGATCCAAAGAAGCTAAGATGCGGTTGAAAGCAGTTGGCCCAGTTTCACTCACTAGTGAATTTCAACAGTCGAGATTCTGTGTGTCCATTCAGAAGTTTGTTCTTTCTTTCTTCTTTCTTTCTTTCTTTCTTTCTTTCTTTCTTTCTTTCTTTCTTTCTTTCTTTCTTTCTTTCTTTCTTTCAGGGGGCGGGGGAACAAATGTGTTTTTCCAGGACCCATCAGCTCCAAGTCAAGTAGTTGTTTTCAATCTACCTGTGGAGGTCGCAGCTCCTTGGCCCATGTGGGAATCGAACCAGCAACCTTCGTGTTACGAGCACTGTGCTCTAATCAGTTGAGCTAACCGGCCACCCCAAGTTTTTCATTTCTATAAATTTGGTCCCTCATCTGACATGATGACAGTCACTAACACAGATAAACACTGTGTGCAAAGCACTATTCTGAGTGCTTTTCCTTGCGTTAACTTATTCCTCACACTAATCTGAAAAGGTAGATTTTTCCAAATGAGGAAATCACAGAGTTCACAGAGCTATTAATGGCAGGATTGGGATCCAAGCTTTGTGACTCCAGGGCCTGCCCTCCTAGTGCTGCTTCCTGAGTATTGGAAAGGCATTTCAGAACAATTATTTCATCAATAGCTGTTCACCCTGCTAGTAAGTTGGACCTGGGTCTGAAGATGTGGACTATGATTATAAGCTGTTTGTGGATAATAGTGGGACTCTTTCAGCTGTGTTTTTCCTAAATGAAAGAATGCTTAATATTTGCTAAACACTCACATGGAACCAGAGTTCTATCCTGGCTTTTAAAGCTTTAGCAAGTTGTACTACACTCCCCAATTCCCTATCAGCGCAATGTAAAGATCCACCTTAAAGTGATAGCAAACAAGTACGTGTACGTAAAGAGAATATGTTGTCCCCAGTTGAGGTGGAATTCATAGAATATTTTGTATGGAAAGATTCTGTGGATGAATAGAAACAGAAGAGGTGTGAAAAGGGATCAGGAAAACATGAAGGGAGAAGAGGTAAGAGAGAAAATGGAATCTTTTAAACAAACATTTACTGGCTGCCTGCAGAGTGCCAGGCGCTGCTAGGCACTGTAGAAAAAACAAGTTGAACAGGAAGGACTCAGCCTCTGAGAAGTGCATCTCAGAGCTATACATTGACCAGGCCTTGAGAAGAGACTAGTTAGGACCATGAAATTTAGAGCCATATAGAAGGAAAAGATGATCTGTTTGGATCTTAACAGGAAGAAGAGTAATGTTGGCAGGTTTAACTAGATAATTTTAAATTCCCAGACCTAAAGTTCCATGCTGCTTGAAGATGTGGCTAATGAGTGGTAGACGTGAGAAAAGAATTTTTATTAATGCCATTTGTTGAGAGGAAGTTCATCCTAGCTGTTGAATTTTAGCCAGATAAAAGAGGAGAAATAAAAAGCAGGGTGGAGTTGCAATACAGTTGTGGATATGAGATGACTCATGTTTGGAATAGACATGAATAGGAACTTCGAAAGAACTAAGCTAATGACTTGGCAGCAACATGGGGACAGGGAAGAGAGGAGTCAGAGGTGTGACAGGCTTGGCCCAGGATTTGGAGATAATGGTAATATCCACAATGATAGCAAAACAAGGTTTGAAAAGGGTTAGTTTTCAACATGTGAAATTAGAGAAAAAATCAGAAACTGGTCAAGTGTCATCAGTGTGCATGTGTATAGATACTGATATTTAATCTCATACATTTTCTCAAAAATGTGTCTGCTTTGAAAAAGAAAGGACTTAAAAGTCAAATGATGCGGTAGTAGCTTTGCTAGGTTGTTTTGAAAATCCTCAGGCCTCAAACATTTTCACTAGGTTCATCTCAATTTTTCAGTGATCAAATGGCCTTGCAGGTAGTTACGTGTTCCTCTCCCAAATAAAATAGCTGTTAAAATCTAAACAGATGAAAACTAGCTTGGTACCAGGGGGAAAAATCTAATACAAGCTGGAAGGGACAGAGATTACAGATATGGTGCATACCCAGCATTCTCTACCATAGAGGGGAAGTCCTCCTGCCTCCTTGTTAAAAGGTCCCTGAACATGTGGACCGAGCCACATTTAAAAGTATGGTGGTTGTAAATTGAGAAAAGGTGGTGTTGAGTGTTAACCTTTGGATATCTGAATTATCTTGTCCAGGGGCCAGGCAAACACATCATCACCATAGCCAGCACCTACTACAGAGCACTTCTGTATGCCTGGCCCTACAATCTGTGCTTCATATATTTAATAATTTAAAGACATCAGGAGGTTCTGAGCCATATGTTCTAATGTCATGTCTCTTCAGACCTGATAAGAAGGAAAATAATAATCGTGGGAGAAAAGGAATCCTGAAAATGTCTCCACATCTCCTTTTCATTAAAATCTGAACTCATCACCATAGCCAGACACAGTCATAACCATGAGAGAGGATCTAGAACATCCGAGGTGTGAGACCTAGACTAGAGCCCACTTGTAGATCACTTCAAATTTCATGGCTCTAACCTCTGGCTGTGACAACAGAAGTGAGAGGCCTGCTTTATATTCCAGAATTTCTATCAAAATCATTAAGACAGTCCCGACCACAAGTTTGCCAGAGTCTCCAGGAAACAATCCATTGGAACAGAACCAGGACCTCATGGAATTCAGCGGAACCGGTGTCGAAACATCCAGGAGACTGTTTGGTGTAGGCTTAGCCCTGTTCAGAACTGGAAGGTTGAATCCTAGCTCGGCCACTCACTATATATGACTGGGCAAGTCACAGTAACCTCTGCACCTCAGCTTCCGTACTGACACTGTGGGGTTAATCTCTAGCTCGGGATTGGTGGAAGGATTAAGTGATAAAGCTTATAAAAATAGCTAACACAGTGGGCACTTAATTATTACCATAAAAGCTGGTGCTGGTATAGTAGACACACTGGGCAGACCCCACTTACTCAAATGGTCATTCTTCTAGGAATGAGATGGGAGCCGTTACAAGTATTTCCTGTATTGATCAGTTTGGCCAACAAGTTTACTCAGTTGCCAGTGCCTAGCTGGGAGGGATACAGAGTAGAAGAGCCATTTCCTTGGCTTTAAGGAATTTGCTGTTTGTAGAAAACTGAATTCTTCAATGGTCCTATAATTAGGAATCATTCCCATTTTTACAGATAAGCAAACAGGTGTGGAGATTAAATCTCACAATTAGTATTGATGCTGCTTGGATGTGAACTCATGTGTGGTCCTCCAATCAATCGCCCTCCTTTTTCTGCTACAAAGGAGCCAGGAAAGATTCCATGGAGGAGGCAGGATGTGAGGTTGAGCCTGAAGACACTTTAGGATTTAGTCCGGAACAGGAAGTAGGATGAAAGAATCGAGGCCACGTGGTCCTGATGCCTGCTGTGCACTAAGCCCAGTGAGAAACAGCAGGCGGAGAGGGCTCGGAGGGTTGGAGTTGGCTAGCCAGGCAGTCAACTCCATTGGCGGTGCTTATATAACTGAAATGATGCCTTGGTGAATGTCAGGAACATACAGGTAATTGGAGGAAGGAGAGTTTGGAAGCAAGGAGATCAGTTTAGGAGCCTGTTTCAGATAGGGGAGAGTGAGAGCAGACCGGAAAAGATTTGAATCTGAGATAGAAGATGTAGAACAGGAGAATGGACCCTTGGAATACTAGCCCTGTATGGTGTACCTTCAAAAAAATGTGTGATCAAATATGTTTGGGAACTGAAAGATACTATACCTGCTCTCCTCAAGACTCAAAGTGAACATTAGGGGTTCCGAGAATTCCTGCAGGAAGCCCGTTTTCTTGATTGATTTATCCATTGTATTGAATGTCTTCTGTGATCCGCTGGGAGCACACTGGGGAAAGTGCGGCTCTAAGGTTTGAGCCTGGTAGGGGGTTAGATGGTGAAAGAGGTGGAAGACTCAGCAGTTTCTTTGTTGGAGCCTTCATGCATCTACTAGCTGGAGACTTCACTGGAAGTAATGAGAAGCTATTGAAAAAATAGTGAAGGGAGAGGAACTTGATATATCTTGAGCTGGGCTTTCTTTCATATGCTTTCGCATTTAATCCAAGTGCCCAAGAACCCACTGAGAGCCTTTGTCCTATTAAGCTACATTTTAGGCACAGGTCCCCAGGGAGTCAGCTGGCCTTTCCTCTTATTAACCCGCCACCACCATCCATTCTGATCTTGGGTCTTTGCCATAAGACAGGCACAACTTTGAATTCAAACAAATCCGAGTTTGAATCCTGGTTCGGTCACGGGTAAAATAAGTGATCATGGACAAGTCATTCACACTTCAGGTTTTTAAACGTATAACATGGAAATAATTCATAACCTCATAGGCTTATCGTGAGAATTAAATGGATACACAGGAAGGCATCTGTCATGGGCTTGGCACAGAAGTTTTCAATAAATGGTAGTTACTGTTACAGGGAAAATTGTTTAGTTGCAGAGTGGAATTTAGTGTATTCAGGTACCCTTGTTTGCTAGCTCTAGAGAAAAGCATGTAAGCTTTTCTCATTTTAAGGGTCCACTACAATTATTTATAGGAAAATAGATAGGATAACAAACAGAACATTTCAACAAACATTCCTTGAGCACTTATCATGTGCCAGGAACTCTGGGCCTTGCTGATGTAGCATTCACAGGATAAAGAAGGCCCCTGCTGTCATCCTAGTGTGGAAAAACAGACAAAGGAGAAGACATGGCTGGTAGTAATGAGGGCTGTAATTAAAGTGGGTAGAAAGGAGAAATCCACCTTTGGGTGGTCAGGAAAGGCCTCTAAGGCAGGAATACTTGAGACCCATATAATAATGAGCAGACCAAGCGATGATCTAGGGGAAGAGCCTTCCGGACAGCGGTAAAGTGGATGCGCACGAAAGCCCTCAGTGAGGAAGGTCTGTGTGCTGCAAGGTGGCACGAGAGGGTTGCAGGCCGGAGGAAATAGAGTAGGCTGCATTTAAGTGCTGTGGGGGCCAATAGAGTGTAAGTGGTGGCAGGAGTATGTTTTATGTTTGAAAAAATTATCAGTATGTTTGCTGTGTATAGAGGAAAAACTTTTTATAAGATAATTCTTAAGTTTTTAGAATTGACCTAAGTCTCTGTCCTCTTCTGGAGATGGCATTTAGCAACCTCCTGGTCATCTGCTCTCCACTTACATTGCATGTTTCCCTTCACAAATGCCGCCCCTTCCGTCAAGATGGCCTTTTTCCTCAGGTCCTGGCCTGACAAGCCTATGAAAGCCAAATAATAGAATTGGAAATGCCTTTTCAGAACTGACCTGGCCTTGAGATGGAGTGGCTGAAGAGGCCTGGCCCAAAATGGCTTTAAACTGGGTGTGCAAACCAGACTGCAGTTGAGGTTTGTCTGACACACACACAAATTTTTAGTTGATTTTGTTTTAATATTTAAAAAAATTGTATTCGAGTATTTAACACACATGTAGATTTGGAATGCTTTAGGCGGGTCATACATCCTAGTTTAATAGGGGCCTTACTGCTTTTTATTGCTGTACATCTGACCCCAGTTCGTATTTATGTTACCTGCCTGGTCCCTGTAGGACCTTGAGTATTAAATGATTAATGATTACCAAGTGTGCAAGCCTTACATAGAAAACATTTAGGGCCGGCCGAGTGGCGCGATGGTTAAGAGCTGGCTTGGGACGCCAGAGGGCCCCGGTTCAGATCCCACATATGAGGGCCAGTGACACTGCCCTCCACAGCTAAGATGCTGAACAACAGCTCGACCTGGAGCTGGGCTGCTGTGAGTTGCCGGCGACGGCGTAGGCTGCAGTCCCTGTGGCAGTGGGTTGCCATGGGCTACCGTGTGTAGTCAGCAACCAGCGTGAGCGGCCAGCAGCCGCCGTGAGTGGCCGTCCAGAAGTCGGCGGCTGATCTGCCTCACCCGGGAAGAGCGCAATGATGGTGCCAACTTGGGCCAGTGAAGCAACGTCCTCCACAACTAGACTAAAGAACAAAAGGACAGCAACGTGTCTGTTTCCCTTCCCCCAATTCCCCAGCGCTGTTCCCATCCCCCAATTCCCCAATAAAAAAAATCTTTAAAAAAAACCAAAACATTTAAACTGTAAAAAAATGACTAACAATACTACCCATGCAAATGAAAATATCAACTATACTGTTTTCCATTGTTAAAAAAATGTTTGTGTCAGGGCAGAAAAATCAGCAAGGAAAAAAGACTGCAGAAAAAGACTGGGTGGCTGGTTAGCTCAGTTGGTTAGAATGCAGTGCTCATAACACCAAGGTTGCAGGTTCCATCCCCACATGGGCCAGTGAGCTGTGCTGTCCACAACTAGAATGAAACAACTACTCGACTTGGAGCTGATGGGTCCTGGAAAAACACACTGTTCCCCAATTAAAAAAAAAAAAAAGCTGTAGAAATGGGTAGGCTGGGGATTTGCTAAGTGAGACTCCTTCATGGAACATGGTGTGCCTTGACTTTACTGTAGACACACTTTCTAAATGACAGGCAAATGGGTCCCATCACTCCTAAATTACTGTTTTGCATAAAAAGAATCCCTAGAGCAGTGGAAGTCTACACTACAAAATACTTGGGTGAGAGCTGGTTACAGTTTACTTGAATGTGAAAAACAAGCTTCCAGGGGCAGTGGTCTCAAGTGCTCTTCTGTCTCTGGTCCTGCAGGGCCAGGAGCAATTAGATCAGCAAAGCTCAGTCTTCCTCCTCTCACATCTGTAGGTTGTCTCCGAATACCATGGTGACCCCTCACAAGAAGAGCATGCTGGGAAATGGGAACTACGATGTGAATGTCATTATGGCAGCACTTCAAACCAAAGGCTATGAAGCTGTTTGGTGGGACAAGCGCAGGTAATTTGAACCAGGCTTGACTTGATGAGAACTTGCGCTCAGGACGCGAGTGGGGAGGTGGGTGGCCAGTTGTGGTGAGACAGCCAGGGAACCTTGAGGTGGCTGCCTCCGAGCCTGACACCGTTTCTCTTCTGCAGGGACGTCAGTGCCATTGCCCTCACTCATGTCATGGGCTTCATCATGAACCTACCTTCCAGCCTGTGCTGGGGGCCACTGAAGTTGCCTCTCAAAAGGCAGCACTGGATCTGTGTTCGAGAGGTGGGCGGTGCCTACTACAACCTTGACTCCAAACTGAAGATGCCGGAGTGGATAGGAGGAGAGAGTGAGCTCAGGTGCCTGTGGGGCTGATGTGCTGGGCTCCTCCCTTTGGTGTGTGTGGGAAGTGAAGCTCATCTGCGGTTATTTGACAAAGGAAATGAAATTCTAGCTTTGACTGTGGTTGGATCCTCTCCCTGCCTTACTTAGAATCAGAGGGTCTCAGACTTGAAAGACCTGAACTTTGATGGCCCCTGAGGACTTTCAGTCTCGTTGGTAGAGAAGTCCCAGCACCTGGGCTGCTGGCCCTCTGGTCTGGTGAGACTGACATCATGATGTTCTCTATACTTAGACAACTGGGACAGTATAGCTGCCAGTTCAGAGAAAGGAAGGCAAACATTCAGACCACAGAGGCGTAAATTTCCCTGGGACCAAAGGAAAAAATTTTTTTAACAATTACAAGTCCTTTACTTTAGAGGACTTCGGGCTGACTGTTCATCACAGAACTAGCTACTGCTGGCTGTAATAGGTGAGGAGGAGCAAAAATTCAGACCTGAAATCTAACTGGACAGACTGAGGGGTAACCAGAGATGGAACCGTCCAAGATCACTACTAAAGTGCTTTAGGGACTGCCAAGTGTATAAATATGAGGTTATCGATGGACATGTGGCCCCAAGACTGGAATTTGCCATTTTACCAGCATTTCATTTTCTTTCATCTACTCTTCTTCCCATAGGAAATTTCTAAAACATCATTTGCGAGGAAAGAACTGCGAACTCCTGCTGGTGGTACCAGAAGAGGTGGAGGCCCATCAGAGTTGGAGGGCCGATGTGTAACAGTTCTACCCAACCTTCCCTCACCTCAACCCCCAAATCCTCCGTGACGTGCTGTGGCCTATACCATGGGTCTGCCCTTGCCACTTCCCCAAACATCTCATCGGGTTTTCCCCCTCAGATTTGACAGTGCAATAGGCCAGATGTGTGGACTGATACAAGAACCAAGCAGCGCTACTCATTGCTGGGAAAGGAAGGTAGGAGCTCTGTGCTTAGGGCAAGCGATGGAAGACCTTTGTTTTGAGAGAGGAGAAAAGCAGGTGGGTCCTAGCTTGTTTTCCCTTTTCCTGTGAGGACTTGACAGAGGCTCTGCTGGAGTTCACTGCTGCTCTGACTCGCCTGAAGATGCTGCCTCTATGTCCCCTTTCCTGGCCACTAGTGGGTCTGAAGACACAGTACATGCAAAGCCCGTGTGACTGACTTGAAGGACCCAGAGCAAAAGGGCCTCTCAGGAAACCATCTCCAAAACCCCAGCAGCACTACAGCATGCCGTCTCCAACCCTTAATGCCACCCCTTACCCCCTTTTTAAGGGTGGTTTATGGCCATCCTTGGAGTTTTATAATGAAAAGTTCTCTAATATTCCACACTGGGTGGTTCAATCCTGCAACTTTCTAGCGTGACAGGGTGAGCTAGATACCTAAGAGTACATGGCCAAAGCCAGGCTGGGGCAGGTATGGGCGACCTGCCTGCCTCTCCAGCATTGTCCCTGTCACATTTATTTAGGAGGCTCTGGGGAACAAGATAAGCAAAAGGGCAGTTTTTCCCAGTTGACCCACTCCAGCAAAATCAGGAAAAAATAAGTTTGCCTTTGACATCAAATTCCACTAGCTTAAGACAGTTGGGTGAGGCAAGTATTGTGAAGATAAGCTTCTCAGACATTAGAACGGCTAGAATAGTAAGTCGTAGGCTCAGTGTCACTATAGTGACAAGCAGAGCCCTCAAGTTGGGTGGTTATATGCGTTATGTTATAGGACCTGGGTTTGTCATCTTTCTGTAGTTTCCTTTACAAATCAACTGAGAATTGACCCGCCCCCTACCTCTTTAAATAGTTGTAGGCCATTTTTCTCCTGTAACTTTGGAAAACGAGAGGAGGGGAAGTATACCACACTGTGTCACCAAAGTGGTGTGGCTGCCTCAGAGAAGGGCAGGCAGGGATGGCCTGTCTAGCCCTTACAGCTCAGTGATCTTGGCAGGTCTGAGAGCTGCCCCACTGGCCAGACTTCTCTCCAGCAAAGCCAGCCTGGGGCTTGCATGTCAAACCTGAGCGAGCTTAACAGGATGAAGCTGAGGCTTTCTCCTCCCCACTGTGACTGGAGTGCATGTTTACACCAGCACTTTTTCTGCACATGTCTCTTCAACAAGGCCGTTTTTTATGCTGAGTAAGAGGCCACCAAGCGGCTACGGCATTATACCGTCTCAGCAACTGGCCGCAATCTCTCCTGCACCATTTTCTACACCAGACCTGCTTGGCACCACAGGGAGCTCTTTATCCCTGCACAATGACATTCCAACCACCACCAGCCAGAAGTTACAGCCAACCTTGCTGATTGTCACAAGCAGGACCTTGGGTCCATTGGCACTGTCAGTGATAGTAAGCCATTTCCTGTGAAGAGGAAACTCCTCTGCCAATCTGCTTGGGCCTGTGCAAATGGCACTTCAGTGGAGTCCCCATGCACTTGGGAGTCCATGAGCCAATGGGATATGCAAAGACAAAACATTTCAGGGCTGGTTTCTCTGTTCATATCCAATTCTGGTGCTTAGGAACAGGGACCCAAGCTGATGCCCAAGGGCAAAAAGCCTTATTTCCTTTAAGGAAGCGGGCAGGCCTGACCCTGATGCCCAATAAGGGGCAACCCTAGGCTTTTTGTTTTTCCTGCCCCCCCCCCTTTTTGTTGGCCTTGTGCTGGGTTTGTTTACAAAGATGTATTTTTGTTTAACCAAATATTAAAAATGGAGAACTCCGTACATAAATCTCATGTTTGCCTGAATTCTGTTATGTACATAAAGGGGAAAGAAGTAAGCTTTAGTGTGACACTGCTTTAGAAGGAATTCACAACCATCACAACTCATCTTTGACAGATAGGCTGTGCTTTAGGGCAGCACATGTCTTTGCCCTTCTCAAAGGTCTGACTTCAAGGTGTGTATCACAAGCACATGCATGACACTTTCGGTTGGAATAATTTTTAATATTTAAATACAAAAAGTGAGCACTGACTTTTTTCTCTTACAGACACACAGGTCTAACAGCCAAAATGTGCAGAGGAAATGAGCTCCTGCTCCGTCCTCCACAGTCCCCATCCTGTGGCCGAAGCTGCTGCTGGCCCAACCCCTTTTTCCTACATAGCGAGGAATTCACGGTGCCTGCTTTTACACTACAGCTGTAATGCATTTGTATTTCATCTAGTGTGTGCAACCCTCCCCAACACCTCCATTCAAAACAAAACAGTCATGAATGGTCAGGGGTACATCTTTCCCAGTGGCACCAGTTCCTACCCCACAATGAGATACTGAGGAGATCTTCCGGTCAGGAGTAATTCAGTGAGAGGTGGGGTGGCCAGAGCTGGAGTAACCGTCTGCATTGCCGCACTCTGGTATCAGAGTGAGGACATAAGTAAGGACAGTGTGGAGGGCACGGTTGCAAGTTGGGAGTCTCTCCATAAGACAATGTGTGGAGAATTCTCCCAACTAGGTTTAGATAGATCAATGTGCCAAAGTTAAAAAAAAAATCAGCAGTTCAAAACACTATTGAATTTTCAAACTTCTGCCACTAAAACAGGTCAAATATAACAATCTAGATCTTTCCAGGAAGTGAAGGTAGAGCCCCTGGCATTCCTCCTGACAGCCCTGTGTTGGGCCCTAGAAGTATCTGGAAAAGAAAAGGAGGAATGTAAGGCATTGTACAGGCCTAAGAATCTCATTTTCATCATACCTGCCCGGGGGGCAGACAAGGTCTACAAAAACAATGCTGAACCTAAAAGAACAGGCCACATCCCACTCTCTACCCACACATTAACTGCTGGTCTACCCAGGTGCTGGAGAAATAAGTTGTGTCTTCACCACTGGCAAAAGGCCCAGGGTCTGGGCTCACCTGCCGCTGCTGCAGTTGCTGCTGTTGCTCCATTTGCAACTTCTCAGTCTCAAAGACAACAGGAAGAACAAGGATCATGAAGGAAGTTGTCCCGATCCACAAGGCTGCCCTGGAAAACCTGCAGAGGGAGTGTAGGCATGATAGCGAGGCAAAACCAGACAGCTGAACTAAGAACGACCAGTAACCAAACCTCTCACACTACATACTCCAATGTTTCTGATACACGTATTCTACCCAACCCTTACACCATACTCCAAACAGAAACAGGAGACACAGTTCTGGTAGTCTAGCGCTAGCCGTTAACACTGCCTGAGTTCTTACAAAGCTACTTATATGTAAATTATCTCACATAATCTGAAATGATCCTCGCAACGACCCTACCGGATAAGAATCCCCTCTTTACAGAAAAGGAAGTTGAGACTAAGAAAGGTTAAGGTCCCACGAGTCCAAGGTCACTCAACGATCTAGATGGCAGGCTGGCCTCCAACACAGATCTGCTGTTTCCAAAGCCCGTGTTCATTCACGGCACAACGCAATATCTTTGCCCTTGTCCCTTACCTGTACATTTTCTGAGCCACAAAGAGCGAGAGATCAAAAGTGGCTCCAGCCGCGGACCGAATCCTTTCCGGGAACATCTCCGTCAGACCCCAGAGTCTCTCCGACAGGGTCTCATCTAGCTGTGATTGGAGAATGCGCCAATCTTGGCCGATGCAGCGGCAGCCATCCCCGACGACGGGACACGCCGAGCCCCCCTGGAGCTGGGGCACCCCGGGCCCAGCGGAGCCCCTAACCCCGCCTCCCAGAGAAGACGCCTCCGCTACGACCTCTCTAGGCTCCGCGACGCTCCTTCACCCGGATCCCGCAGCACGCGGAGCCCACACCCCCGAGCGGGCCGCTCCCGCCCGGACCGTCGCTCCCCGTCCCGCTGCGCCCCGCGGGGATCCAATACCTCGTCGTCGTCTTCCTCTTCCAGCTCCTCCTCAGTCTTCTCGGCATCGCCTTTCGGAAGCAATTCGTCCGGGGGCAGGGGTACCCCAGGACCCGCGGCTGCAGCGGCAGCGGCCATGGCTGTCGGGGGAGACCGGAAGCGGAAGAGAGGAGGCGAGTGCAGCGCAGATAGAGCGCCCCTTCCGGGAGCCGGCGGTTGGAGGGCTGCGGGAGAGTGACGCCCTCTGGCCGGCGGTCGTCACCTGCCTTCAGCCACGTCTGGCGGCGGCTGAGACGTCAGTGGAAATAAAACACAGGGGAGACCTGTTAAAGTCCAGAGTCGGGTGCTTCCGCAGTAATTCTGTTCAGAAGGTTTAGAGTGGGCCCGGAAACCTGCATTTTAACAAACCTCTCAGGGATCGCACTTAGAGAAACACTAATCCATTTTAATTTCCCTGAGTAGTGTATTGTTTGGTACGAGTTAAATTAGAGATTTGCGGGTTTATTCTTTTAGGAACCGTCAAATAAACAGTCCCAATGTGTTAAAACAAAGGCAAGCGTTAACACTTAAGTACCAGGTATTGTTTGTGTGTGTGTTGAGGTACTATTATCCCCATTTTAGAAGTGAGGAAATTGAAGCACACGGTGGCTGTATTTCGAGAGGATAGATTTCTGGAAGTGGGTTTGCTGCAAAATGTATGAACATTTAAATTTTTACTAGCTATTAGCTAATTTCCCTTAAAATTATGGTATCATATACTTTCACAATAGTGAATGAAATGTCCTTTTCCCCACACCCTCCCCAGTATTATCCATATTTTAATTTTTGCCTATATGATAGATAAAAATGCTTTTAATAATGTGCACCACAAGTTACCTAATACGAAGGTAATTTATATACACCTTTAGCCAACAAACCGTGGAATCTGAGAATCTCAGGACCGGACAATCCAAATCCTTACCTGAAGCATCACAGTGCAGCAATGAGGCTTTGCCCTGTGCTTACATATTCAGGGCTAGGAGGGCTTGCACTTCCTCCAGATACAGCCCTCAGTTCTTTTCATCTTTGGACAGGGCAGCTCTTACTACAAAATGTTTTCATGTCACAAAAGGGTGCCTAGTGCTATGATTCCATTATATAAAGTTAAAGGCAAAACCCATCAATGGTGGGGATAGTGATTCCCTTTGAGGAGGAGGAGAGGGTAATATTTGGGAAGGGGCAGAATGACTTCTCAGGTGCTGCTGGTAAAGTTCTATTTCCTGAGCTGGGTAGTATTTATATGGGTGTGTTCATTTTGGATAATTCATTAGGCTATATATTTATGAATTATGCTTTTTTTTTTTAACCCTTGTGTCGAGGGCTGACTTTCAATAGATCACAGCGAGGGAGCTGCTCTGCTACATACGAAACCCCAAAGAATTATGCTTTTTTTGCATGTATTTTTTTTTAAGTAGGCTCTACATCAAGGGCAGCTTCAGATCCTCAGTGCTGATAGCTTTTTACAAAAAAGATTTTATTGGGGAATTGGGGGAGGGGAACAGTGTTGAGGAATTGGGGAAGGGGAACAGCCAAGTTGTCCTTCAATCTTAGTTGTGGAGGGCGCAGCTCAGTGGCCCTTGTGGGAATCGAACCGGCAACCTTGGTGTTATGAGCACTGGGCTCTAACCAACTGAGCTAACCAATCACCCCCCAAATAGTTCTTAATCTGGGTCGATGGAGGGCATAGGTCGCTTTGAGAATGCTAGAAAAGCTATAAGCTTCCCCCTCCAATAAAAAATACACATTAGCTCGTAGGTACAATTGTGCATAGGGGTCTCCTTGCTAGGCCTCAAGCTGTGAAACTGCCTCTGATTATTGCCCCTAATCCTACACTCACTCCCTCACACCCATAGAACTTTCTATTCCAACTGTTAAAGTAACAGCTCTTCCCTAATCTGACACTTGGCACAGAAATTTACAAAATTGTTGTAGAGATTACACGAGATAATAAATGTCAACTAGATAGCCCTCTCTACTTAGGTGCCCCATAAGTAGTAGATTTGGTTAATAAAGGCTTTGAGAAGGAAGAATTTCAGCCAGAACCTGAAGAATGTATCTGACTAAAAAGGTAAGATCTTAAAAGTACATAGCATCTCAATGAGAAAAAAACCACAAGTGTTAGGGTGGTGAGATATGGGTGATTCCCTCCCCACACCATCTTCCCATTTTCTCTTAAAGACTTTCATCAGTAGGATTATCCTTGACACACCCCACACCTATCAGCAAGCATTGGTGTCTAGAATCTGACCACTTCACCTCCTACTGCCACTTCCCTGGTCCCAGCCTTGCCCCCTTCTGTCTGTTCTCATCAGAGAAGCCAAAGGGAGCCTTTAAAATACAAGTACCAGGCCAGCCAAGTGGCATGCTGGTTAAAAGCTGGCTTGGGATTCCTTGGGATGCCAGCTCTGAGCAGTAGGGCCCTGATTCGGATCCCACATGCGGGCCAGTGACGCTGTGCCCTCTACAGCTAAGATGGTGAACCACAGCTCGACCTGGAGCTGGGCTGCCGTGAGTCGCCAGCGATGGCGTAGGCTGCAGTGGGGCTGCAGTGGGCTGCCATAAGCTACCATGAGTGGCAGGCAGCCAGTGTGAGCTGCCAAGAGCTGCCGTGAGAGGCCATCCAGTGGCCGGCGACTGATCTGCCTCACCAGGAAAGAGTGCAATGATACCAACATGGGCCAGTGAAGCGACGTCCTCCACAACTAGACTGAAGAACAAAACGACAGCAACTTGTCTGTTCACCTTCCCCGATTCCCCAAAACTGTTCCCTCCCCCAACTCCCCAATAAAATCTTTAAAAAAACCACACAAAACAAGTACCGTATTTCCCCATGTATAAGACACACCTTAATTTGGGGGCCCGAAATTTGGAAAAAAAAATTACATAAAGTTATTGAACTCAAGTTTTATTCATCATAAAATTCATACAACTCCTCATCACTGTCAAAACTCCCAACCATTAGCTTGTCCTCATCTGTGTTTGATGAAAAAATCACTGTCTTCATATATTGCCTTGTCCTCAGCGGGAAATGCAAGTAAAAAATCTACAACCACTGTGTAAGACGCACCGTTTTTAGACCCCACATTTTTCAAAAAAGGGTGCGTCTTATACATGGGGAAATACGGTAGATCATATCATTCTTCTGCTCAAACTCACCAATGGCTTGCTTCCCTTATCACTCAAAATATAAGTCCTTCACTGCAGAACTGGCTCCAGCCCCCCCAGGTGCCAGTGGTGGTATGGAGGGGGACCCACATCCTTGTGACAACCAAACCTGCCCCTCACAATTCCCAGGGTTTCAGTCCTGGCTCTATCCCTTCCAGCTGTGTCACCTTGCTGGGCTGGTTTCTTCATCTAAAAGCAGGGGCGAGATCAGACGATCATAGCACCTTGAGCTGAGCGGCCGCGAGCTGCTGATAGCCAGCCGCATGGCCACTGGACTTGGAGCTGAGCTAGCTGCACCCTCCACAACTAAGATTAAAGGACAACTTGGCTGTTCCCCTTCCCTAATAAAGTCTTTAAAAATAAATAAATTAATGAAATGCAGGGGGCAACAAGCTCGAAGAATTCTCGTGCGAATTAGAAACAGGTATCTGGCATCAAGGGTGCTCAATAAATGGTTGCTAATGATAGAGGTCTAGGCATAAGTGAGCTCTCAATTGCTCCTGTTATCTGCACCTGGAGATTTATGCCCTGCATATATTTGTATCCTCCAATTTCTCCAGTGGGTTTCTCTCTGATGTCAGAAAGTAAGGTTTTGGGCTGGAGCTTCTACCCATCCATCGAGCGAGCCATAGGGATGGACAACAAACAGCGGCCTCCATCTCAGGAAGGTCCCCACACAGTTCCTCTCACCATGGGCTGAGTCCACAGGCTCCTACACTTCCGCTCTGTGGCCCTAGACCAGTTTCTGAACCTCCCCGAGTTTGGTTCCTTGCCTGCAAATAGGCGTGCTGGCAGTCCCTGCTCCACAGAGCTGCGCTGAGGAGGAAATGAGTGTGTGCAAGGTCCTGAACCCCGTCCCAGGCATGTAACTGCTGACCATGGTAGCCATGCCCGCACGGAAACCCTGGGCTCCCCACCTTCAGAGCCCTCCCCCTTGACTTTGGGAGCTGGAGTCCCTCTTACTGACTCTGGCTGGCTCCCTCCTCCAGCCAGAGCGGCTCAGCGCACTGACTCGGGCACAAATTCCGACTGGAATCCAGCCCCTGCCCCAAAGACTTGGTCCCTGCCAGATCCCAGCTGGTCCCAACTCCCCGAAGGAGGGCAGGGGATTTGGGCATGGAGACTGTGTCTGTTCTGGGTCGGCCTCTGCCAAGGCCCAGGAAGCTGGGATGCTTCCCCTGGCACGGTGCCATTCCCCACAACCTAAAATTTCTGTCTTTGGTTGGAGCACAGAAGCTTACACTCCAAGCTCCATTTAATTCTTCCAGACCTGATGCTTCTTTTTTCACTTCGGCCACAGAGAGGTTCTATAACATCATTTAATTTTTAAAAAGTAGTGTAAACAGAGAAAAAGCACAAAAATATAGTGTTGCGTGGAGGGCTGGGGCTTGCTGCTGAAGGGGAGGCCAGAGGAGGCTGTGGGTCTGGGGAACACGTGCTCTTGAAAGGGCAGAGAGAGGGGCACGAGGGGCAGAGAACCAGGAGAACTGCCCATCTGATACCCCCTCACACAGGGCTCTTTAAAGCTGTGCCACACCCCAAACACCAATGTGCGGGGATGGTAGGATGAACTCCAGCTGCTTCTCCCAACAGTGTCCACCCAATGAGGGTGAGCCTGGGACAGGTGCGTTTGTAGGTTAAGTGACTGGGGAGCACCCAAAGTCTTACCATCACCCCAGACCTCGCTGAGGCCTGGCTGACAGGCTGGCCTCTCAGTGCCGTGCAGCCAGAGTACATTGCTACTTACTGCCCTGGCCTGGGATCCTGGTTTCTCCATTATGTTGTCACCTTCCTATTGCCAACTCAAGGGTGCCACTGCCTTTTGGCCCCATTATATGAGACTCTCTCCCAGGACCTAATCCAATAGATTGGCTAAAAAAAGCCCTCAGCTCTATCCTATTCCTCTGATAAGAATTTCTCCCTGTCCTCCTAATGAATGTCTTTGGGGTCTTCATTTCCTCCTCCGGCCGACACTCTTCAGTTCATCCAGTTCCTTCTCCATTAAGTGGGATTCGGCAGTGGTCTCAGAGAGCTGTGAGAAAAGCAGCAGACAGTTAGAAAGAAGGACATTTCTGGGCTAGGTTTCAGGTTTGCAAGGTCAGCCCTGGGGAGGCCCTGCACATTTCTCCAACACTGCCTCCTGGCCTCCAGCCTCCACGATGGGAACCCCTTCTCAGCTGGGAAGAACTTGCACAATCCACTTGGCAATGTTTTTGATCACCTAGGATTGCATCACTTGCTGCGTTAAGGAGAGCAGGCTTCAGGGGATGAAAAAGGCAGACACTGGTGATTCTAAGCTAAACAATTAGTTACTTCTGAGCTGTAGCTCCCATAATGGTGATTGGGGGAGAAATGCTTAAAAAAGAATGCCACTTTCCTCATCAGGATCTTTCAATGTTACTCACGACAGGGAGAGTCGTACAAAACTCTCTAAAGTCGAGGTCAGCTTACTGTGAAGTGAGAGCTATGCTTTCAGAGCAATCCACCATTCCAAGTTACTTGTATCATTAACTCACTACGAGGCAGATCCTACTATCATGCCTATTTTATTGCTGAAGAAACGAAGTTTCTTCACGCAGGTCAGTTACGTAACTTGCCTAAAGCACAACGGCCAGTGGCAGAAGAAGCAGGCAGTTTAGCTCCAGAATGCAGGCTCCTAACTATGTGTACTCTCTCCAGCCTTCACATGCACCTCGGCCCAACAGGCTGCTGGGTTTTTCACAACCACAGGAAAGCGATGCCAATGCGGAGAGTGCCCCTGGGCAGGTCTGCGCTGGGCACTGACTGGTGCCTGCTTGATACCGGACATCTCAAATCATGAGCAGACTCTCCTCCCTCCTGGAATGTCTTCATCCCCAGCCTCCATTCTTCCCCTTATCCTTCCACATTCAGCTCAACGATGCCTTCCTCCGTGATGTCCTCCTGTCTCTACAAAATTACTTTCTCATGTGCTGACATCAGACCCTGTAGAGACTCTAATGTTGCCCTTGCTACAAGGCACTGTCATTACGCTTACTGCCCATCTCCCTGCTAGGCTGTGAGCCCTTGAGGGTAGGGACTGTGTCTGATTTGGTTCTGTGTCCTTGCATTCACAGCAATGTAGGTGTGAGCTGGCTGAAGCGACTTGGGGCGGAGCCTCTCCTGAAAAGACACCGTAGGCAGCCCCTCCCTCACCCTCCTCACCATGTCCAGAAGGATGTCCACTTTCAGCCGCAGGAGATTGTTCTCTTCCTCCAGCTGCTGGTTTCGCCTCCGCAGGCGCTGAGCCTCCCTCCGGTCCACACCGCCACTAATTCCTGTTTCTGGTGGAAGGACAGAACCAACAGTTACAAGCAGGGGTGGAGGGGCCGGCGGGGGGGGGGGTCTTCCACAATCTTGTCGGACAAAATGGCAGGAAAACAGCCCACCTGCTATCCACTGGCCATTTTCAAACTTCAGGCTTTGCCCCGCCAGGTTCATACTGGGGGTTCCATAGTCGAGGCCCAGCTCCACCTCCCGGGTTGATCGATCCAACTGTGGGTGAGACACTGTGTGCTGGCTGCAGGAGGCCAGGGCACTCAGGCTCGCTCCTAGCACCTTTCCCGCTAACCGCAGGACTCCACCACTCATTTCTTTTCTCTAATCATTACCCAGCGCACTTAATAATTGAAGTCAGAAATCAAATACAGTACAACAAATAATGTTAAACTATAAAAGAGAAGAAACATGCTGTTTTATATACAATAGATGTTTTCTGGAAAAGTTATATATGCTCCAACTTGTACAATGAATTATTTCACATCTACTGTGAAAAGTCCTTTTTCAATGTAATAAGCCCCTAAGTTATCATTTGCTTATTTCGGAGTTATATATGTCATGGAAATATGCCCTATTAGTAGTAACAGCTGTTCTTTAATGTGTTTTTCAATGTTTCTACAACTCACCGAGCACCCACCCAGGACTAGGAGTGGGTATTCAGAGATGAAAGCGACCAATTCTGCCCAGGAGGAGTTGGAAACAGCCTCTGGAGCTGACCTAACCTTCTGAATGCCATTAATGGTGGCAAAACATCATCCTCGGAGAAGGAATTTGATTCTTAGACATGACTAAAATGGATTTCTGGCCAAGTCTTGAGAATAATAAAGTGAAGCCAAATGAAGCCAAATTGGATAACATCACTTGGAGCCAAAAATCATGAGATTGACTCTCTTATGAGGTTCTTGAAAAAGCTCCAATTCCCAAATAGGAGTTAAAAATCATTTTAGCAATAGCAATATGAATGAAAAGGATGCCCTTCTACTTGGATGCCTCTGGAGAACCCCATTCCCCATCAGACACACCCCAGGCAGGGGCACATCGGGCTGAACCCAGTACTGACACTCACATGCAGGTTGGAGAGAGAAGCGGACTTCCGAGGGGGGGTCTTCTTTGGACTGAACGTATTCCCAAAGAGAGGCATCTCTGGCCCGACGAAGAAAGGTAAATGTTCTGTTGTCCTAGGGTCAGAACAAGTCAAGGGTACAAATAGTTGGGTCAGTGACCTTATGTCACTGTCAAGTCATGAAAACATACCTCTCATGTGGCTATTTGCAATCCTGGTGAGGGCTCCTGTGTGTTGAGTGCTGGCTGTGTGCCAGGCAGTATGCTAAAACCTTTGCATGCAATAGCTCAACTCTCACAACCACTCTGTTTAGCTCCTCTCATTATCCCCATTTGACAGGTGAGATTTAGAAAGGCTAAGGTTCGAAGGAGGAGCTAGTATTTGAACACAGGTGTGTGTGGCTCTATAGTTTGTGTTAACCACAGGAAGGGGCCTAACTTGCCTGTCTTGAGTTTTGTCACAAGTTGGCACCACCAGATATACAGTCTAGAGCAAGGAATGTAGTCCCACTTATTCCTGTACACTGGTAAGAATCCCACTGGGCAATAGCCTCTGAATATACTCCAGAGCAATGAAGCTATACTTATACTTCACTTTCGGATTGATAATAGTGCCCCTCACTCAGTCCATATGTCAAAGGTCACCTATCCTATATGGCAGGTGAGGTGTCGGGGGAAGGAGGAAGAATGGGGTAGAGCTGACAATGGCAGCCATACATTTGTTTTCAGCATATTGCAACCTATTGCAATTCACACAGGCCCAGTTAAGGAGATTTACTGACATTGCCCATTGGGGGGGGGGGAGAGGGAGAAGTAAACTTTTGTCTATTTAGGTATAACATAAATATAGAAATGTATACAAATCATAAGTGTGGCTTCATGAGTTTTTACTAAAACACAGACACACACACAGAGACACACACACACACACACACACACACACACACACACCACACCCCTTGTATAGCCACTGTCCAGATCTGGATATAGAACATCTCATCACCCCACAGCCTCGCCCAACAGCTTTATAACCACGGACTTGTAGAGGATGTCTTCTGTGTCTGGATTTCTTCACTCAATAGCATATTTGTGAGATGTATCCATGTTGTTGTATGTAGCTGTAGTTTGTCCATTCACATTGTAGTAAAATATTCTACTGCATCAAGTGACATTTGGACCATTTCCAGTTTCTATTAAAAATGTGCTAAGAACATTCTTGGATGTGTATTTCTCTACATGTAAGTATACTTCTCTGGTTCTATACCTAGGGGTGGAATTATTGCGTCATGGAGCAGTCACATATCCAGCTTTAGTAGATACTGCCAAATGGTTTCCAAAGTGGTTGTACCAATCTATATTCCTACCAACAGTGTATGAGAGATCCTTGTAAACATTTGGCTTTTCCTATCTTTTTTATTTTATCCATTCTGGAAGGTATGTGGTGGTATCACACTGTGTTTAATTTGCTTTTCCCCAATAACTAATTAAATCGAGCACCTTTTCATACGCTCACTGGACATTTGGGTACCCTCTTTTGTGACATGCTTGTTCAAGTCTTTTGCCAATTTTCTATTGGGTTGTCTATTATTTTTCAAGTTGATTTGTGAGGGTTCTTTATATATGTTCAATACAAGTCCTTTGTTTTATATGTAGAGAGAATACTGAAAATATCTTCTCCCAATCTGGAACTTGCCTTTTTGCTTTCTTACTGGTTTCTTTTTTGATTAAAGAAGTTCTTAATTTTAATGAAATTTAATTTACCAATTTTTTTGAATGATTAGTGTTTCTGTGTCCTATTTAAGAAATTCTGCCTACTCCAAGGTCATGATATTTTCACATATTAATTCCTGGAAATTTTAACTTTCACACTGTCTCTCCAAGCATCTGGAGACATATGAAGAAGTGGGGGGGAGCCAAGTTCTTGCAAAGCCTGCAACTGTGCTGAGAGCACCGCTGGCCTGAGCACATGGCCCGGACACAGGAGACCAAGTTCCAGGCCTGGCTCTGCCCCTCAGTTGCCTGCTAAACCTTGGCCAAGTTATTTTATTTCTCAGAGTTTCAACAGGGACACGTCACTCATGACCTCACTAATTCTCGTAACACTCAAGCCGACAACCATCATCAATATATTACAGATGAGGATGAGAAAGGGTCTGGACTAGCTGCTTTTTAAGTTAGATTCAATATCCACAAACAACTCGGGCTAAGACCCTGGGTTTCTGGAACATGAGTGTGGACCTAGAGGTCCCAGCTGCCCCCTTGTCAGCCCTCTTTCTAGTGAAGCTCTCTGGGGAGAGAGGTCTCCGAAGAAAGGAAGGGAGGGCACCTGGGTTCCAACCATTGCTCTGCTGTTCACTCCCAGTGGGACCCCAGCACCTATATTCCCTGGGCCTCAGGCTTCTTTCTTCATAATCAAGGGAAATTACAGTACCTGACTCACAGGTTGTTAAAGTGCTTTAGTGTTTATAAAAAGCTGTGGCTTTCGATGCTCATAGCAACCCTGGGAACTAAATTAAGTATGTCACCATTTACAGATGAAAAAACCGAGGCTTAGATAAGCTAAGTAACTTGCCCCCATCGCACCGTGGGAAGGTGGTAGAATTGGGCTTCAAAGAAGTCTTACTCCTTGGGACTGGTGATAATAATCACTTCATCACTGTGCAGTGCTTTACAGTTTGCAATGGGCCATAAAATACATTACCTTGTTTTAATCTAACAAAAAGGTGGGTCTTTGACTTACATCGGATTCTCAAAGGGATCCGCGTTCCCCCGCCTTCAGAGCCGCCCAAGTACACGCCGCGCAGGTACACCGCTACCCAGGGCTGGTGGACTCAACTGACGGTAGCGAACAAACGTTCACTCGCACGCCCTTCACAGCTGACCTCCGGGGGAGGAATTACTACCCCAATCGATGAAACCCTTAGAGATGCGCGGAAACGGAACGGGGGTGAAGTCGGCCTCCGCCCCCTGCTCGGCGCCCTCTGGTCGTTCCAGCTGTGGGGAGGCCCTGGGTCCCCTGGGGAACGCCCAGGCGTCCCAACTCTTCTAGGCCCTCAGGCGACGCAGGGCTCGGAGACGTACCTGATACGTCCCAGGAGCTGGGTTCGGAGCAAACCCGGAGACCTCCCGCAAGCCGGGTGCGGAAGCCCCCGCCAAGCCCCTCAGCAGTTACAGCCGGCCTCTCTGCTGCCCGCCTGCCAGGCGCACGCGCAGCCCCGCCCTGGGCTCTACCACAGAGGGAGTGGGGGTGCCCGGCGCGGCGGGGTCCACAACGCGAGCATGCACAAAGCACCAGAAACGCTTGAGGAGTGTCCTCGAGATATTAAATAAACTCCACAAAGTAACTGTCATCTGGAGTCACTTACATGCCCCTATGCTGTAGTCTAGGACGAAGAACTACACTCACCTCTCCACAAACCCATTGGTCTGCTCTCCCCAGCCATCAGGGCCGTCACTGTGGTAACGGCGTCTGGCTGTGGCTCGCGACGGTTTCATTGTTGTGGGCAAGGGGGATGTGGTGCTTGCGCCCGGCGTTGCCTGGAGTCACAGTAGCAAAATGGGCCTCCCCTTGTTGCCCCTCCTCCTCTGCCCCTCGCCCCCCGCCCACAAAGCCAAGGACATCCCTTCCTGGTGGATGTGGGGGCAACGGGGGTCGGATGTCGCATCCAGAACTTTGCAGTGTCCCCTGAGGGACTCGTGGCAGAACCGGCCCCGAGTTCATCGGATTCCGCAGCTGCCTTCAGGTAAGACGGACAGAAGAACGGTGACCCACCCTGCCCTCCTCCCCACGCCCGTCTATCATCGGCTTCTACAAGCAGGGGAAACTGAGGCCCAGGGGCCGCTTCAAGGTCTCACAGTGAGCAAGGGGCAGAGAACTACTCGAGAATTAATTCTAGATCTCCTGAAGTCCTAATAGAGTGTATTATTGGTTCCATCTGATAAATGAAGGAACTCGGGGTTGTTCACGGGATATTTACCGGGTGTCTAGTGAGTGCACCAGGTCATCCAGGCGATGGGGAGCAGGACGCGTAGGTCTCTTGACTTGAAGTGTAATTTTCTTTCAACTACACCTCACTACATTGGAAAGGGGAGAGTTCCATGTCCTAGAACCCAAATCTGCAGTCTAGCCCAGCACTGTCCAATGGAATCATCATGTGGGCCATAAGTGTCCTTTAGAATTTTCTAGTAGCCATATTTTTAAAAGTGAAAAAACCTTCAATCAGGTGATATTAATTTGAATAATATTTTCTTTAACTCCAAATGCCCCAGATACTATCATTTCAACATATAATCAGTATATTTAAATTTGCACTGCTTGATCTTTAAATTAACACAAAAAGTTTAGTTCTTCAGTCACACTAACCCAATTCCAAGGGCTCAGTTGTCGCATGTGGCTGGCTAGTGGCTACCGTGATGCACAGGTCTAGCCTTTTCCTACCCTTCTACCCTTGCTCCTCTGCTTGGATGGCGTTTCCCCTCTTCCTTTATCTAATTAAATTTGATTATCGCATGTCTCCCCTAGTAGACATAAGTTCCGTTAGGGCAGGGGTCAGGTATGGATCAAGCCACGAGCACACTGCTGGCTTGTGTTTGGCACTCAGTAAATAGCCATCGAATGACTGAAGGTTAGGCTGAACGACAGTTAGCATGTTTAAGTTAAAACATGTTAACCTTTAAACAGGTACATTCAAACCTCAGCTGTCAGAATATGTGCTCCTCAGCTGTCAGACCTCAGCTGTCAGAATATGAGGGCAGAACGTTTCTTAATCTTTTACTCATCTGTCCCCAATGCATAACACAGTGCTGGACGTGGTAGGTATTCATTGAAGTTAGTTTTCTCCCCTGTCCTTTTTTTATCCTTAAGCACTGACAATAAAAATTTACTGTGTTTCACAGAATACTTATCCTAAAATGATATGATGAAAAATTCAGAGGGGAACAGAGTGTATATTATATTTTAAACATTTCTCTTAAGGAATATAATATTCAATTCTCCCATTAGACATGAGTAATGATGTCAAGCTAGATGCTTCTTGACAGGGTGACCCTAAGCCTGACTTTTCAGAGAACCCGCTCTAATTTGCCAATTATGCCGGGGTGGGTGGGAGGAAGGTGAAAAGCACTGAAGTGTACCTGTCTCCTCTTCACCTTCTCCTCTTTGCCTGTTTGGCAAAAGGCTGGGAGCAGGAGGGAGGAAAGAGTATTGACCTGGGTCTGGGCCAGTCCTTCCTACAACCCAGATGACTTGGGACAGCCCCAAATGGATAGCCTCTGTGGACTAGAAAGAAGTATTAATTCCAGTTCAGTGTTGTAAGTGCTGTAATGGTGAGACGAAAGCAGAATCCTGGGCTTCACAGAGGTAGGATGGTACTAATGGTAATTCAAGAAGATTTTCCAAAAGTTGTATCATCTGGGCTGAGCACTGAATAGAGGGAACAACACGTGCAAAGGCATAGAGGCACAAAGCATAGTGTGGCAGCGACCAGGAAGAAGTTCAGCAGAGGGCAGGCATATAGGATGCACTGCTGGGGAGGAGAGGGCAGAGCAGAGAGCATGAACCGAAGGAGAGAAAAAGAGATTGTAATGAAAGTGTACCTTGGTTCTTTGTTCCACCAAGCTTTACCTTTTCTCTCGCCTTCCATTATGTATGAGCTTCTTGAAAGCAGATCTGAGTTTTTTACTTCATTATAACCAGGCTTCTACCATCAGTCTTTGGACATGGAGTACCCACAAATGGTAGTAATGAACTCTTGGTCAATAAGCAAGGACCCAGGGGCCGGCCGAGTGGTGCGATGGTTAAGAACTGGCTTGGGACGCCAGAGGGCCCCGGTTCGGATCCCACATATGAGGGCCAGTGACACTGACCTCTACAGCCCCTGTGGCAGTGGGTTGCCATGGGCTACCGTGGGTAGCCAGCAGCCAGCGTGAGTGGCCAGCAGCCGCAGTGAGCGGCCGTCAAGAAGCCGGCAACTGATCTGCCTCGCCCGGGAAGAGCACAATGATGGTGCCAACTTGGGCCAGTGAAGCAATGTCCTCCACAACTAGANGGCCAGTGACACTGACCTCTACAGCTAAGATGCTGAACAACAGCTCAACCTGGAGCTGGGCTGCCATGAGTCGCTGGCGACGGCATAGGCTGCAGCCCCTGTGGCAGTGGGTTGCCATGGGCTACCGTGTGTAGCCAGCAGCCGCAGTGAGCGGCCAGCAACCGCAGTGAGCGGCCGTCCAGAAGCCGGCAACTGATGTGCCTCGCCTGGGAAGAGCACAATGATGGTGCCAACTTGGGCCAGTGAAGCAATGTCCTCCACAACTAGATTGAAGAACAAAAAAAGACAGCAACTTGTCTGTTCCCCTTCCCCCAATTCCCCAATAAAAATCTTAAAAAAAAAAAAAAAAGCAAGGACCCAGGAGGGCAGCCTGGCCATAGTGTTCTCAGTCCAGGAGGAAGAGTAGTGATGGGGCCAGTTTTCGGAGAGGGAGCAGAAAGCCTCCGGCCAATTAGGACCCTCATGCTGGGGAAATGGACCCGTATCATAGAATCATAGCATCTGAGAGCTGAAAAGGATCTTAAGCTCCTCATCCAAATCTCTGACTTTCCAAGTGAGGCTCCAGAGAAGCAAAAAGATTTGATTTCATTTCTAATTTAGAAACTAGCTTGCTGGGTAGTCTGGAACCCCAGCCTTTTCAGCACTCCAGTCTCCTCATTCTTAAAACTACAGTTGACCCTTGAACTGGGCGGGTCTACTTATAGGTGGATTGTTTTCAATAAATACATACAGAGCTTTAAATGTTTTCTCTTCCTTATGAATTTTCTTAGTAACATTTTATTTTCTCTAGTTTACTTTGTTGTAAGAAGACAGTCTGTAATACACATAACATACAAAATCTGTTTTATTTGACTGTGTTATTAGTAAGGCTTCCAGTCAACAGTAGGCTATTAATAAAGTTTGGGGGGAGCCAAAAGTTATATGTGGATTTTCAACTGCATGTGGGGGGTCGGCACCCCTAACCCTCACGTTGCTCAAGGGTCAACTGTACAACAATTTTCATTGGAACCAGGGAGTGGGCATCAGCAGGTAGAAAGAAATAGTATATATACCTTTAAATCCTCATTTGACAATGGGTTTCCTAGCCAAAAACCATTATTCCCAGTATGTTGCATGCAGCCTGATGAGCGTGCCTATGTTTTCTAAGATGGCTCTATGCTATCTGTGATTCCCAGGAGACTGGTTGAACAGAGGACAAGATCGGAGTGAGAGGCTCTTAGAAGTGGAGACTTCCTGTTTGTCAGTTTACAAGAACCTGGACAATGGCTTATTTCAGGAAGATGGATGTCATCAATGTCACTGCCTTGCCAGTGGTACCAGTGGATGAGCCCCTGGCGTTCTCACTCATTGCACAGAACGCAAGGCAGAATGCCATGAGGAAGAGTCTGGAAGACAGTCCACCCTGTATCCTTCTGTGCTGCTTATAATTGAGACCAGATACGCCTGCTGCAGAGGCATAACCTGCGCTTGAGTCTGTAACATGCCTTACTTCTTAACTTGTCCCTTATACATCTGTTATTTTATTGTTATTATTAGTTAAGCCCTACCTATCTTCTAAAAGAATTTGAGACTGTGAAGGATTGTTTGACTTGAATTTGTTTTACTAAGATAATCAGAGAGAGCCCAAAAGAAAGAAGTATGGGAAATATTTGTTGAAAGAATGAGGAAGAAAAGAAAAAAAAACACGCTCATTTTTTTCTATTGCCACCTTCTTTTCCTTCCACCTTCCAAAGAATTAGTTATACATAGCAACTAAGAAGTCACGGTCCAGCCCCATGCCCTCAGTGAACTTAAGAGCCAATTAAAAAAACATTTTTTTTTTCTCCAGCTGACCTCACCTCTTCTCACCTGCCAGCCCTTTTGCCTGGGCTCAGAGTTGCCCTTCTGGCATCACCCAGGCTCTACCAGCATCTTACTTCTCTACTCTGCCTTTGTTGATCCTCCTCTCACTTCTACCCCTGAACTATATCCCAGGGACCCACAGAATCCCAACTCTGGAGGACTTGGAACTCATCCAGAAAATAACCCTCTGGGGTTATAAATCACTGCAGGTCTTTCCATCTGATGAAGAGCTAATTTTCCTTCAAGTCACGCTGCTGCCAGCCAAAGTGCATGTACCTCTCTGCTGCCCCCTGTCCCACGCCCCCCAGAAACCCTCCTCGAGATGAGCACCCCTGATCCCACCAGGCTCTCACTTTCCTGGGCCTTTTTCTAATGTCCTCTCTTTTTCTTAATCCCACACTCATCTCAGCTTAACTAACCCATTTCACTCCCTATGATTTATTATGTCCCTCCTTGGCATCTTCACTTGTCAAGTATCCTCCAATTTGTAAGAACACTTGAGGGTAATGGAAGTAAGAGTGGACTTTGCTGTAGTTGAAGGCGTGAGGAGTGAGAGGATTAGGGGGCTTTTACAGAGGATGTGTCCTTGACCAACTGAGGCTAAGACAGAAAAAATGTAAACTTAGAGACAGTAACAAGATGGGCCCTTGAACGGAGCAGAGATTTCAACAGTGATAAACAAGGTCAAAATACCCTTTGACCCAGTCATCCCTCACCTGAAAATCTCTCTTAAAGGAATAATCCAAAACATGGAAACTGCTCTGTGTGACTATGTGCATCACAGCATCATTCATGATTGCAAAAAGTTATAAACAACTGAAATATTCAATAGCCAAGGAACAGTTAAGTGTATTAAGGGGCATCCTCTAAATGAATTCACATAATGCTGTTTAAACTATTATGAAGATTATGTAGCCTTATGGAAACAGATCATCATAATGAGTAGAAGAGAAGTCGGTAGTAAAATAGGCATCCACTGAGATTATAATTATGTAAAAAATATGTATGTACAAAAATACTGGAAGGAAATCTCCCCAAATCCTAACAGAAGTTGTTAGGGTGGTAGTGGAATGGAAGGTTCTTTATATATTTTCCAAGGTGTCTAGAATAGAATTTTAATTTATAAAGCAACTCATTTAAAACAAGATAAAAGAAGTGTTGAATGTTTTCAAAGAAAATAATCAAGTGGAGAGACAGCACAGAAAGGGAGTGAGCCTTCGTCCGTGGCGGGCTAGCCTCTCCTGCTTGTGTATATTACAATTACTACCCAGAGAGCTTCCTTAGCAGACTCGCCTCCCAGCGTGCCTTATTGGCTCCATCTGCCAGGTGAACCAGAAGATTACAGAAATAGGTCTGAGTCCCAATGCATTGGACAACAGCCTGGTGAGTTATGGGTGCTGGAGCTGAGGCCAGGCTTCCATTTATTTGAAATAATAAATTTCAAATTTACTGGGGCCCCTCCATTTATTTGAAAGCACATTTGCCCAATGGAGGCCTCAAAGGTATATATAGATTTTAATTAATAATGCTTTATTTTTTTTTAGAGCTTGGGATTCACAGCAAAATTGAGCAGAAAGTACAGCATTCTCGCATACGCATGTCCCCACACGTGTACAACCCCCCTCCCCATCTTAGTGGTACATTTGTTAGAACTGAGGACCCTGAACTGGCACATCATTGTCACCCAAAGCCCATTGTTTACATTGCAGATGGTTCTCTCTTTGTGCTGTGCATTCTATGAGTTTGGGAAATTGTGTAATGACATGTATCCACCTTTGTAGTGTTGTACAGAATAGTCTCACTGACCTAAAATTCCTCTGTGCTCCTTCTGTTCATCTCTCCCTCCCCCTAACCCTTGGCAACTACTGATTTTTTTTTTTAACAGGAGGAAAATCAAAATTTTAATACATGTGCATGGGGAATTTACATAAGAAGGAAAATTCCCACTACTGATCTTTATATCGTCTCCATAGTTTTGCCTTTTCCGCAATGTCACAGTGTTGGAACCATGTAGTATGCAGCCTTTTCAGATTGGCTTCTTTCCCTTAGTAATACGCAGTTAAAGTGTCTCCATGTCTTTTCATGGCTTGATAGGTCATTTCTTTTTAATATTAAATAATATTCCATTGTCTGGATGTAACACAGTTTATTTATCCATTCACCCACTGAAGGACATCTTGGTTGCTTCCAAGTTTTGACAATTATGAATAAAGCTGCTATTAACATCCCTGTGCAAGGTTTTATATAGACATATGTTTTCAGTTCATTTGGGTAAATGCCAAGGAGCATGATTGCTGGATCGTATGCTAAGAGTATGTTCGGTTTGTAAGAAACTGTCAAACTGTCTCCCAAAATGGCTGTACTATTTTGCCCTCCCACCAGCAATGAATGAGAGTTCCTGTCGCTTCATGTCCTCACCAGCATTTGGTGGTGTCAGTGTTCTGGATTTGGGTCATTCTAATCTGTGTAGAGTGACATCTTGTTTTAATTTGCAGTTTTCTAATGACATGTGATGTTAACATCTTTTCATATGCTTACTTGCTATCTGTATTTCTTCTTTAATGAGGTGTCTGTTAAGGTCATTGCCCCATTATTAATTGTTTATTTTTTTATTGTTGGGGTTTACAAGTTCTTTGTATATTTTGTGTCTTTTGCAACTATTTTCTCCCAGTCTGTGGCTTGTCTTATTCTCTTTGACATTGTCTTTTGCAGCGCAGAAGTTTCAAATTTTAATGAAGTCCGGGTTATCGATTGTTTCTTTCATGGATCGTGCCTTCGGTGTATCTTAAAAGTCATTACTATACCTAAAGTCATCTAGGCTTTCTCTTATGTTATCTTCTAGGAGTTTTATAATTTTTACGTTTAGGTCTATGCTCCATTTTGAGTTAATTTTTCTGGAAGGTATAAGGTCTGTGTCTAGATTCATATATTTTTTTCTTGCATGTGGGTGTCTAGTTGTTTGAACACCATTTGTTTAAAAGACTTTTCTCTGTTGTGCTGCCTTTGTGCCTTTATCAAAGATCAGTTGACTGTATTTATGTGGGTCTATTTCTGGGCCCTCTATTCTAGTCCACTGATCTATTTGTCTGTTCTTTTGCCAGTGCCACACTGCCTTGATTACTATAGTTTTGGTTTTTTTTTTTAAGCTGCGCCATCCTGCCACCTTTTGGCAGCTCAGCGACTGCTCAGCTCGGGCCGGGAATCGAACCGCTGTTGCTCAGAGCTCAAATCCTTGAGCGAGCGCTTAACCAACTGAGCCACTCGGCCGACCCTTACTATAGTTTCATAGTAAGTCTTGAAGTTGAATCATGTCAGTTCTCCTTCAGTATTGTGTTTGCTTTTCTGGATCTTTGACCTCTCCATATAAAGTTTAGAGTTAATAACTTGCTGGGGTTTTGATTGGGATTGCATTGAATCTATAAATCAAGTTGGGAAGAACTGACATCTTGACAGAAGACGGGAAAGTGTCCTTTTGCCCTATGATTAGGTCTCAGTTTTTTGGTGAGCCTGTGCCCCTGGACTGTGAACTTTACCAGTGCTTCTCAGTTTTTGTTTTGTTTTGTTTTGTTTTCTTCACTTAGGTGGGACAAAATAGGTAAATGGGGCTAGAGCTGGTTATTTCCCTTCTCCCACGTAGGTTAGGTTCTGGTAAAACAATTTCTCCTGAGAGCAAGAAGAACAAAATGCTATGGCGTATTTCAAAATGGTTACTTTTCTTCTCCACCTGCTGGAAGAACCAGGGGATTCTTCGAAACTCACTGTGAGGACCTGGTGAAGCTCCTGGAGGTAAAACTTAAAAGTGTGGGGGCCCCTGATGATTGGCTCCCCCTGAGGTTTTTAACTCTCAGACTTGTCCACTCTGAACCTCCAGTAATGTGTCTATTACAATCCAGGTTTTCTTTTCCCGGCACTGGTTCCCGGGGAGGTTGCTGCTCTGGTAAGTTGCGGATCTCTCTCATTTTGGGGGAAGCAGTTTGCCCTGTGACCTCACTTCTCTGACAGATCTAAGAAGAGTTGTTAATTTTTCAGTTTGTTCAGCTCTTTACTTGGTAGAATGGAGTGGCAACTTCTGAGCTCCTTACATGATGGGTTGGGAACCGGAAGTCTCCAAGTTAATTTTTATTCACTCTTATAAAAAATAAAAAACAAAGCAAACAAACCCTCCAGTAATTCTCTCTCGCGCGTTCTCTCTCTCTCTCTCTCTCTCTCTCTCTCTCTCTCACACACACACACACACACACACACACACACACAGCTGGCATGTTGGGGATGAGAGTTCTGTAGGTTAAACAGTAGGGGTTGGGTGGCACAGCTCCCACCATGTGGAGTAGTGTAAAAGGGTCTTTCTGGCTATCATGGCTTTGGCAATAGCATGTATTTGATTTTTAACTGCGCTTAAGAAATCTGAGGCATAAATCTAAAAATCTTCAAGATACGGAGATGGGGAGATTTGAAATGAAGCAACAAAGCAGTGTCAACCAGGACCTGTCCCTCGCCAGTACTGAGAATCCTGTTGGGAGGGTCAGTTCCACACTGTCTAGACTGGACAGGACCTTACAGCTCAGTGGGTCCACCTGCCTCCCTCGCACACATGGCGGCTGGGAAGAAGGATTATGATGATGAAGATTTATGCTTTGAGAGATCCTGTGTGCTGTGGGCAAGTTCACTCTGTAACCTGCAGGCTTTCCACCTACACCGGCGGTCACTCACTACTCGCTGGTGGTCTGTGGGCCAGTCTGGGCTTCCCGTGTGTTTTGCTTGTCAGCACCAGTTGGCCCAAGCAGCCTTTGGGCTGGGGTCTGCATTTCCCTATGGCGGTCATTGGCTGGAGCAGAAGCACGAGCTCTGCCATTCGCCACAGTCCCCACCACTCCCTGCTGCTCCTGGTATGGAGACAAAGCGTTGGCTGTCACATGGTCTCACATTTGGCCTGCTCCACTCATGTGCAGGACCATCCATGTCTCCAAACACAATGAGAGAGACTCAGACTAGATGAACACCCGAGTCATCTGTCGGCAGTGCAGTTCTACAGATTGGGAAGACTCTCTGTGAGTCTGCACTTGGCCTGATCGGCGGTCCACTGTGCGCCTGATCGGCGGTCCACTGTGCTCGTGTGGCTCGCCCCCTCCCCCTCTCCCTCCTCCTCTTGTGTCACTTCCCATTGCTTTTTTGACCTGTTTTAACCCTTCTCCCTTACTTCCTGCCGGTTCACCCCACCTAAATCTCCCAATCCCTTCCCACTTGACATCTTGCTTTCCACCAAGTTCCCCTGTCCCCAGGGTCCTTGCCTCCATAGTTTTTAGCTTCACCCTCACCCCAACGTTTCTAGCACTGACTTTTGGGTCAGGTCAGCTCTTGAGTCAATCTTTTTGTTTTAGTTTTAAAAGTTTCAATAGCGAGATAATGGATGCGTATTCTAAAATATCCAAACCATCTACAAGTACATGAGTGAACAGTCAAAGCCACTTTCCCCAACCCTGTTTCCCTCCCTCGGAGAAACCATCGCTACTTGTGTGGTGCGTATCCTTCCAGAACTTTTTAAAAAATATACATTTATAAATATGTAACACATACATTTGGGGTTATTGTTTTCTTCATTTAATGTAATCAGGGTCATACCCATAAATATGTTTTGTAACATATTTTTTGTTTTAATGAATTAATTTTTAACAAACGTACCTCTTGGAGATTTTTCAGAATCAGTACTGCTCACCTGCCCATTCTTTTCATGGCTGTGTAATATTCTATGGGTTGGATATGGCATAATTAATTGAACTGTTCCCGATTGGTAAATATTTCAATGGTATTTTCATCATAGTGAGCGTGTGAATATTTTTGTACATGTGTCTTGGGGCTCATTTGCAAGTATTTCTTGTCCTAGAAGTGAAATTTAAAATTTTGGTAAATACAGTCAAATTACCTTTCACAGAGGTTCAGCCATCCTTGACTGATGACACAGGAGGGAGACTTAGCTTCAGTCTCCTCTGCCTCACCATTGAGCAGAGCTTGGAATTGAATTGTGAATAAAAGCAAAATACACGTACACACTGTTTAGACTGATTCTGTGTAAGTTAAGAAAACACTATACCTGTTGTGTGTTGTGTGCATTTATATGTGGGAAAGGGTTTAGCACCAGAGCCACAGCCTCTGGAGATAGACTGTCAGAGTTTCAATTCCTGCTCTACTCTTTTCTCACACTGTGACATTAGGTAAATTATTTAACCTTTATGAGTTTCAGTTTCCTGTAAAATGGTGATGACATTAATATGGTATCAACCTCATAGGGGTGTTGCAAGAATTAGATGAGTTAAAACTCACGAAAACCCAACTTTGCTCCAGGCCTGTTACACACCAACAGGAGAAAGGGCCTAGCACTTGACCCTCACCCCGCACCAAGATTTGCATCAATCCCTAATGCCCCATTTCTTTTTGGTTTTTGAAGGCAATTGAGAGATTTGAGTTGGAGAAGATAGCTTCAAAAGAGAAAAGTCGCGGCAGCTCGGGAGACAGAGGCAAAAATCCTTTCTCATAACCTGAATGGTGTTTTTGTGTTTTTTCTTTTTTCTTTTCTTTTCTATTTTTTTTTTTTTTAGTATCTAAAATGCATTGAGTAGGAGTCCAGAATTTCAGATGAGGATGTTTTTTGTCTCCTTCTGAAGGAGCCTTAAAAATCTGACTTCTTGACATTGGGCAAGGAAGGAGGGAAGGACAGTACCACTTAGAGACTACCTAACTATGTGCCACATTGCACCAGATACTCTCATATGTTTTCCTCTGTGAAATCTTTCTAATGCCCCACCTGTGAGGTGGGTGCCATCGAATAGATTTCATAGATGAGGAACAGGCGTAGGGGAAGGGTATAACTTGCCAAAAGTCATGCAGATTGTCTATGGCAGTTCCTGGACTCTTATTTCAACACCTGTGTTTTGTCTTCTCTGGCTGCCTCTCTGGCTCAAGTAGGAGGGACTCTTACTAAGTCAGCAGCACAGGTGGGATCTCGTGAGACTAATAACGTGCCTGTTATCAGGCAGCTCAGGCTGAATGAAAAATCCCAGTTATAATTACTCCACAGCAGTGGACAGACCCAAGGTGCCTCACATCCTATGTCTCTTCTTCTATGCTTCTGCAGACAAAAGTCAAAGAAAACCAAAGCACATTTGCAACGGCTCAGAATCTAGGAATGTCAAATCTTTCCTCATGAAAAGGGTAAGGATCTATTCCTGGGCCTGTTTCTGGCTGCTTTCTGCTGGGCATAAAATCAGCTTTATTCCTGGGGGGAAGGATACTTGGCACCTGGATGGTGATTGTGCAGGAAAATCACAGAATTCGTTTTTTTAGAGGCTCTTAAAATATTTTAATAACGTTAGAATTTCTCATAATACTCTGGAAAGGACAGAATGAGGAGTCCTCCAGATGTCATTTGTCTGTTTGGTTTTGGAACTTAAAAGGTGTTTCCCCTTAGAAACAGATTCAGATTCAGCTCACACAGAGCCACTGTGCCCTGCCGCCCAAGGGGCTGTTGCCACCGCAGCGCTTGTGGTGGCGTTCACTGCAGATGCCCCGGAAGCTGAGATTCAGGAGTAGTTAGATGACCTGAAGCTTCCCGCAGCTTGTGTGGATGGCAGAGCCCCACTTCCTGCTCAGATCCTTGGACCCACGGCCAGGGTCTCTCTGCCGCTTCTCCAGCAACCACCACAGTTAAGATTCTCCTAAGCTTGCTCTTTAAACTGCCCAGATCCTGTGTCTTCAAACCCTTCAATGCTGGAGAACATATTGTTGTCCTTTTTTCACTTTTTAGCCTAGGAAATTCCCCAAATTCCCCCAAGAGCCCTATGGTTGAGAGTCTGCATTGAAACTGTCATATGACCCATGATGGTGGCTGAGCAGATTTAAATGTCCCACCCAAGGTGGCACAGCTAGTAACAGTGGAGCTGACACCGGACCCTGGGGTGTCTGACTCAGAGTCCGTGCAGTTGATCACCAAGCTCTTCCATGCCATAGCCCAATTAGAGAGAAATTCAGCCCCTCAAAATGTTGCCAGTAGGTGCCTTTGGGTGATGGTGATTGGTTTCCTCTTTCAACTTTTCTGTATTTTTACGTGTTTTTATAGTCATATTTTTTATTCTAAAAATCTATTTAATGACCTATATTAAGAACCATAAAGATAGTCACATTCTTTGATCTAATAGTGCCATTTTAAGAAAGTCATACTAAATAAATAACCCAAGGAAGTGGGAAACTATATGCCCCAAGTTGTTATTAACTTTATTATTAATATAGTGACAGTAATATTACTCAAGAGTACCAGTGAGTAGTTAATTAAATTATTGCACATCTTAACAGGATATATTATTTTGAATGATACATTTGAAGACAGTGTAGCAGTGTGAAAAATCTAAAGTTAAGTGGATAGAGGACATAAAATTGTGTGTGTGTGTGTGTGTGTGTGTGTGTGTGTGTGTATGTACTGTAAAATGATTGAAGTTACATCTCCGTATTTGTATACCTGTGCTCAAAGCCTGAATGGGAAAATAGAAATAATGTCAATAGGTGTTTAGTAAGGGGTGCTGGGATCATGAACACGCCCTCGTTTTTTTCAATACTCGGTAAGGTTGTTCTATTGTCTTCATGTTAAAAAGGGGAAGATATCCTATTGTCTTAAACTGTCAAAATGATAGACCCCATTTTCGTATTCTTCTTTTTTTGCTTCAGAAAACAGCAGATAAAAATCTGCTGGCAGAGCTGTACAAGTGCCCAGAGTTCAACAGCTCTAGGCCAAGCAAGCTTCCCAATGGGGTAGACTTCTGTGACATGGTTGACAATGTGGTTCAGTCTGAAAGAAGTCCCCTTAGTGGCAAGGTAAGGAAAGACCAAGGAGCTCACCTCTGTGATGCCCAGCTGTGGGCCCAGCTGTACCCCAATGTTACAGCCGCCCGTGTGACAGTCGCAGCTGCACCAGTGTTGCACCCCAGGAAGCCGAGAGTCAGGGCAATTGAGTGAGTCACTGAGGGCCACACAGTTTGCAAGTGACTGAGCTGAGATTATACCCCAAGCCCATGTCCCTCCAAAACCTACATTCTTTCTACCAGAGCACTGGCCTCCAGACTGTTTGATCATGTATCCTATTAGCAAAAATATGTGAGTACATGCCCTCATGACATGTTTCTTTATAAATGAGATACATGTCCTGTTTTCAGTCACTATACTGTATGTTGATGGACTTAATTTCTTTTTTTTTTCTTAATAAGACATTAGTTAGAATATTTTTCCCATGGTGCCCCTTGGGGTGAGTTACCCACTTGGAGAGCAGTGCACACTGGAGTCCTTAGGAAGGAAGGTAGGAAGGGAGTATTCTAAGGCCCAGAAAAACCTGTGTGCATATGTGAGACAATGCTGGCCACTCCAGAGGTGGGGATAGTTGTAAGGAGGTGTGGGGAGGGGAGGAAGCCCAGAAAATGGTCTCAGCAGCCCTACAGCTGTGCCTCATCACCCTACACGATTTCGCAACAACTCCAGTGTCCCCAAAGCAGCTCTGGTCATTGTCCCCTCAGCTCCTAACTGGTCACCCCACCATTCTCAGTGTCTTCTACCTGTACTTCTCACTGCTGCTTGCTTCAAACCACAGTTCCCCTACTATCTCTATTTCTCTCTCTATTTCTCTCTCTCTCTCTCTCTCTCTCTCTCTCTCTCTCTCTCTCTCTTTCCTTTTCCCTTTCCCTCTCTTTCCTTCCCTTCCCTCCTCTCTTCTTCATGATTTCTCCCTGCTGCCTTTTCTCTGGCTAGGTCTCTAGTTCCATCTGTCTCATTCCTCTGTGTCTTGCATTCAGACTTCCTAAGAGTGATGATCTGTTTGGACCAGTGTGACGATGGTGTTTGCTGAAGTTCCAGTGCCAGGCGCCAGCATGCACTGCTGTCAATTAGACAGCTGCCTTTTACCAGGCGTTGGTCTCTGGGCCCGGCAGTGGTCACCCTGGGCTGGGGCACCTGATCCCCTGCTTTCCTCAGCGGAAGGCACTCAGAGCACCACATTTTCTCCAGGACAACAAACAGATGTTCACCACATTGTCATTTACGATAGCAAGGAACCGGGAGGCAGTACATCACGTCGTTAAGGAGCACTCTGGGCTCTAGTTTCTTCTGCTGCAAAAGGGATAACAACAGTCTCTATCTTGAAGAATTATTGTAAAATTAAATACAATGTGTGTACAAAAGCTCTTAGCACGTGCTTAGTAAGTCATAAGTTCTCAAAAAATGGTAGTTTTTTAAAATTATCAGTGCTATTAGAAACAGTTTAATGATCAATAATAGAAGACTAGCACAGTCATTTTATATCTATATAAAGTGGCTCTGCCACTTGCTGGCTGTATTACTTTGGGCCAGTGACTTCAGCTCTCTAGTCCTCGGTTTCCTCATCTGTGAAATGGAGATAATAACACTTGCCTCGCATGATTCTTATTGGAGTTAAAAGAGAACATGTAAAAACCCCTGGCAAGGCAAATAGTCAGCCCTCACTAAACGGTTAGGTGTTTGATTCCAAAGTATGTTGACTCCAAAGGTGACTGGTGGAAAGATGGTGTGATTAATGACCATAACCAGTCATGGGACATGGAAGGAGGAAAGAAAGGTTGTGAGTGGAGATGGTTTTAAATCTGTCTGTGGCGCCAGGTGAATTTCTTAAAAAAGAATAATCACAGCAACCATAATAATAAGAATTTTGTTTCTTTTCAAGTCTTTCTGTTCAGAGAGAGAATTAGAGAAGTTTCTCTCTTCTCCTTCTCTAACAGCCATATGGCTGGATAGCTTCTGGTGGATCTTTCATGAAAGGTACCAGGTAAATGAAAATCCGATCGCTTCTCTCCCTTGCTTAAGCTATTTTTCTATGGCACCAATCCTAACCTCGCTAACGTGGGTTGTAAACCCCTCTGATTCCCTGGACTGCCCCTGCAGCCCCATCGTCACCTTGTCCTTTCCCTCCCCAAGCCTCGCCATGGACCCACTTGCTGGCTGTATCATTTCGGGCAAGTGACTTCAGCTCTCTGGTCCTCTCTCTTAGCCATTTCCCAATGTCTTGCAGCTCCGCTGAGCTGTAGGAACTGGTCCTTGTCCCATGGCTGGTCAAGGGCGGGGCCAAGAATAAAGTCAGGACCTCCCGGTCCAGAGTTAGGGTGCTTTCTTCAACACTCTCCCTCTATGCCCATGTTTTATAAACCCTATGAAACAAATTCCTGTATTATTATTTCCTAAATAATATGAGGTTAAATGTCTTGAGAATCAGATTCCTAAAAATGAAAGAAATGCTTATTTAAGAATGTCAGCCCTTGCCTGTTTCAACAGGGACTGTGGTAACCCCTTCTCCGTTTTTATTGCTGACAGCCAAACAGGGAGGTTCAGAATAAGCTGTTTGACCGGATATCCCAAAACTACGCCTTTCTTTTGTTCCGTGAATCCAGGTCCAACTATGAAGAGGCTATTTTAAAGGTGAGCATTAACCACTATTTAGAAAAAAAAAATCACATGAGATAGCTATTTGCTTCTAATGCCAAGGGAATGCCCTTAACATTCTTTCCATAAGCAAGTAATTAGTAAGTTGTGACATATCCATATGCTGACTTGCAATGCAGCAGTTACGAAAAATGAGGTAGGTCTATATATATAGTGATTGGGAAAGATGTAATGCTGTATTTTCAGTGAAAAACAAAGCAATTTATACAGCTCTATGTTTAAAAAATATACATGTATATGTATATATGTATGTGTGCCTATGAATAGAAAAAAGTCTGGAAAAATATTTACCAAACTCTTAGCAATGGTTATGTTATATTCTGGGGAATAATGTTATAAGAGACTTCCTTTTCTAGTTTATATATTCCTATAGTATTTAAATAAGCCTATAATTTTAAAGTTAAAAGTATGAATATACATATATACTTTTTATGAGCGTATGTATATATGTACTAGAAGGATTGTTAGAAGAAAATATAAGTGAATATTTACATGATTTGGAAGTGGGGGAGGACTTTTAAAATATGACCCCAAGGAAATAACTGTAAAGGAAAAGACTGATCAATTTAATTATATACATTAAAAAAAAATTACTACACTTTCGGCTTTCGGCTCAGAGGAGGCAAGGTGCAACTTTCTTCGGTCGTCCCGAATCCGGGTTCATCCGACACCAGCTGCCTCCATCCTGCCGCCGAAGTTGGACCCCAACGAGATCAAAGTTGTATACCTGAGGTGCACCGGTGGGGAAGTCGGTGCCACTTCTGCACTGGCCCCCAAGCTCGGCTCCCTGGGTCTGTCTCCAAAAAAGGTTGGTGATGACGTCGCCAAAGCAACTGGTGATTGGAAGGGTCTGAGGATAACCGTGAAACTGACCATTCAGAACAGACAGGCCCAGATTGAGGTGGTACCTTCTG